TGCCCAGCTAATTTTTTGTAGTTTTAGTAGAGACGGGGTTTCACCATGTTGACCAGGATGGTCTCGATCTCTTGACCTCGTGATCCACCCGCCTCGGACTCCCAAAGTGCTGGGATTACAGGCTTGAGCCACCGCGCCCGGCCCTAGGAATGTATTTCTTAGTTACAAAGTCGGAGGTTGAGAGGCTACATCTGGTGAGGGTTTTCTTACTGGTAGGGACTCTACAGTCCTGAGGTGGCACAGGGCATCACATGGTGAAAGGGCTTAACATCCTTGCTTAGGTCTCTCTTCTTCTTACAAAGGCCAGTCCCATTCCCATGATGGCCCATTAATCCATGTATGGATCGATACATTCATGAGGGCTCTGCCAATCACCTCTTAAATGCTACATCTCTCAATACTACTACATTGGAGATTAAATTTTTTTTGTTTTGAAATGGAGTTTTTCTCTTGTTGCCCAGGTTGGAGTGCAATGGCACCATCTCAGCTCACCACAACTTCCACCACTCAGGTTCAAGCAATTTTCCAGCCTCAGCCTCTGAGTAGCTGGGATTACAGACATAGGCCGCCATGCCCAGCTAATTTTGTATTTTTAGTAGTGACAAGGTTTCTCCATGTTGGTCAGGCTGGTCTCAAACTCCTGACTGCGGTAATCTGCCTGCCTCAGCCTCCCAAAGTGCTGGGATTACAGGCGTGAGCCACTGTGCCCAGCCTGGGGATTAAATTTAAATATGAGTTTTGGAGGGAATACTCAAACCATAGTACCCTCCAATCCATTTTCTACACAGCAGCCAGAGTCTTTCCAACATATAATCTAATCACATCATTCCCTCATTATGTCCTCAAGGGCTCCTTTTAGTTATTCGGGCTAAGTTGAAATGCCTTCAATATGGCATTGAAGACTCTTCATGATCTGGTCTTAACATTCCAGTGTGCTATTTTCTTACCGATCATCACCAGGGCTGTGCTCCAATCCTATTAAACCTATTGTTTGCTAAACCCCAATGTTCATCTCTCTTCCTGATCATCATGGGAGGACTGAAATTTAAGAGATAAAGATGGCAGCTAACATGAATGTGGTCCATTCTTTCTTTGGTTTCCCTAAACTGTCAAGGTGACATGGCCCAAAGCTTTGCCTGGCCCTCTCCCTTTATTTTTTCGTTTCTTCCTGGCCTCAAGGCATCCTGGGATGGGCTCCTTTGGTTACTGGATTAAGCTGGTCGTCTGTCCCTTTTCTTCTAGGGCTGGTAGTCAAGGCACTTGCTCAAATTGGGGCTGTAGAAGCTGAAACTGGGGTTTGGGCTTTGGCACAGAAATAAATCCAATGTTGCTTAAGGAAAGATGTTGCTTTCCTACCAGAGGAAAGATGCCTCCATACAGTAGTTGACAGGTGTTCTACAGTGGGCATTGGGGCCCAAGCTCCAGCTAATAATATATTGCCTACTTCCTCTGTCACCAAAAAGTCAAGGATGGGATTTAGAAAATCTTAGGTCCCTCGGCCAAATATAATCTTGATGTTTTCCTAGTCCAATTTCCCCCAACCTGCCCCACTTGGTGAACGCGCCTACTCATCCGTAAGTTTTTATTTATTTATTTATATTTTTTTGAGACAGAATTTCGCTTTTGTTTCCCAGGCTGGAGTGCAATGGCGCCATCTCGGCTCACTCGGCTCACTGCAACCTCCGCCTCTTGGGTTCAAGCTATTCTTCTGCCTCAGCCTCTTGGGTAACTGGGATTACAGGCATGCACCACCAAGCCTGGCTAATTTTGCATTTTTAGTTTCTCCATGTTGGTCAGGCTGGTCTCGAACTCCCGACCTCAGGTGATCCGTCCGCCTCACCC